TCATTCTCCCCTTGTACTTGGCCTTGGTGAGGCCACAGCTGGAGTACTGCGTCCAGTTTTGGGGTCCATGATTCAAAAAGGATGTGGAGAAGCTTGAGAGAGTCCAGAGAAGAGCCATGCGCGTGATCAGAGGTCAGGAAAACAGACCTTACAATGACACGCTGAGAGCTATGGGACTCTTTAGCCTGGAAAAGCGCAGGCTCAGGGGAGATCTGATGGCCACCTATAAGTTTATCAGGGGTGTTCACCAGGATCTGAGGGAACGATTGTTCACCAGAGCACCCCAAGGGATGACAAGGTCAAATGGTTATAAACTCCTGCAAGACTGTTTCAGGATGGACATAAGGAAGAATTTCTTCACTGTCCAAGCCCCCAAGATCTGGAATAGCCTGCTACCAGAGGTGGTTCACGCACCTACATTCAAGAGAAATTTGGATGTTTATCTTGCTGGGATCCTATGACCCCAGCTGACTTCCTGCCCCTTGGGCAGGGGGCTGGACTTGATGATCTTCCGAGGTCCCTTCCAGCCCTAATGTCTATGAAATTTATGAAATCTAAAACCTGCAGCTGAGACTGGAGATAGTTCCAGAGCAAGTCATCTTTGTTCATCATCTATCTTGTCTTCTGGCAGGTCTGCACAGCAGGTTAAAAAAAGGTCCACAGAGTGCTGTATAACAGAACTGTCCAGTTCAACCCTTTGACAATACATCTGCTGTAGCAAAATGTGCATCTACTTATTGCTGCAGCTGAGGACTCTGCAAAATGCAGGCTTGGAACTGAAGCCAGATACGTCATTATAATCTGGCATAACTGATTTGTAATAGCTTAAGGAGACCTCAACAAGGAATGTTGATGCTGCTGCCCTTACAGATTGAAAGTGGTGTTGTATTGCTCTCAGAAAGAGGTGCCAGGTAAATCCCAGGACTTTCTCCACTGCTGTCACGCAGAAGCCAGACACCTTTCTTGAAGTGTCCCACATTGTGCTGAAGCAGGTACTTTATAATACACTGGGGGAGGCAGTGTTACAAAGGTCCCTCAAGCCACTGACAGACATTCAATTCATTTAAAGGCGTGATGGGATCTGATCCGCAATTCCAACAATCAAGCCCCCTGCAATACTACAGGTGCATGGCAGTAGGTGCAATTGGGGGATCAGGAATCAGATCCCAATTGTGCCCTATTACTAACGCAGAGGGAGCCCGCGATCATGATTGTTGGCCACCCGTAAACTGGCAAGTAGCAAGCCAGGTGCCCGGTACAGCTGTGGCTGGAGCACAAGTCAACTTATTGGCATTCCCAGCCATGGGAGTGGATGGGAGCCCTTCACATCAGTGCACTCCTGTAGCTGGGAATGCCAATCAGCTGACTTGAGCTTCCAGCCTCAAGAGCACACTAAAGCAAAGGGCTACAATGCATTCCCATGGCTGCAAATACTGATCAGCTGACTAGCGTGCCAATCACGACTAGAGAATATTGATCAGCTCACTCAGCTACTTGGTGCAGGGGGAGCTCAGGATGCTGATCCTGAGCTTCCCTTGTAGCGGTAATACAGCAGCTGGCTGGTGGTCCCAGCCACAGGAGTGCACCAGAGACTTGAAGGGCTCCAGTGTGCTCCTGTGGCTGGAAACGCCAATCAGCTGACTGGTACTACCAGCCAAGGGAGTGCAGAGAAATCCTTCAGGGCTCTGGTGTGCTCCCAAGGCTGGCAGCAATGATCAGCTGACTGATGTTCCCAGCCTCAGGAGCATACTGGGGTCTTGCAGGGCTCTGGTGTACCCCAAGGCAGACAGTGACAATCAGCTCACTGATGCTCCCAGCTCTGACACTGCACAGGAACGCTTCAAGACCCCAGTGAGATGGGGAACAACCACAAAGTTAGTACACATTCTGTGTTTTATCACGCCATTAACTGCATGAACATGTGGCTGGATTACTACTTAAAATGTGATTAACTGGTTAATCATGTCTTAAGTGTAATGTCTGCCAGGAGCCTGATACCAACTGCTTCTGCTACTAGCACAAGTTGTGGCGCACACCCATTTGCAGGAACAAACACAGCTTGCCTGCTTGAACACAGTAGTTATAATGAGACTTTTTCCTGGTTTCTGCTGGGAGCTTTGCCTCTCACAGCTTATAATGTTTGTACCTCCATGGACTTAAACTATTAATCCATACTTATTGATTTTGATTTTGCTGTACCTTAGGGGGGGAAAAGGTTGTGGGAAGCAGTACTGAGGAAAGATGGATGAAGGCATATATTAAAAGGGTATCAAAAACTCACTATATTTTTCATACAGGAACTACTGAAAAATCTCACCTTGGGAATTAGATAATTAGAATTAGTCAGTGGGAATTACAGATAAAATCCTAAACCCTGGGGGAGTTTCAGCAATCCCCTTGAGCAAGCTTCTCTAGCTTATAGTGACAGTGGACTTCTACTTAGAAGGTTTAGTAGGATACAGTAAGTTTGAGTGCTGTGATAGAAACTGAAGGGGAAAGGGAAAAGGTGGGAGAAAGGACTATTTCCCTCTATTAATTTAAAAGCACCTTACCATTTTAATTCCCAAGGATTCCAACTTTTCCTCCAGGGCCTGCTCCAAAACAGCTCGTAATTCTTTAGTTAATGAAGGATGCGTCTTCAAAGCGCTTATTAAATGTTGATTACTTCTGCCTACTTTGTGATCTCCTTTCTCTATTTCTGAAATAAGATAAGAAAATCAAACTGAAAAAATGTTTAAAATGCATAGTACATGGGACACGTACTATAGTTTAATTAAGCATGCAGTTCTTTATAACAGCATACACGTCAATTTTTTTTTAGTTGGATTGTATTTGCTCAGTCTTGCTCCTTTCTTAAAAATATCTAGCACTACCTTACAATAATTAGAGCACTCAGAATCCATCATTTAAATAACCTCCAAATAGTCACTTCCCTTGAGTGTCAATGTTTTTTTCATGCTACAACAACAAAAAGTTATATGCATGAATATGGAATTATGGAGGGAACTGTGTGTGCTTCTGGGAAAGGAAAATTATCTGTGATAACTAATTTAGTATGGAACAACGCAGCTGGACTCTGGCTCATGTCTCCTAATTAGATATATGACAAGCAAGTGACTTTCCTCCTCTTAAAATGTGTTCCAAAATAATGACATAGTTTCTGCTTTACCAGGGTCCACAGGATTTAGTTTCCTCCTGTGAGAGTAGAGAGCATCACACATGCATAAAGCAGGGAAGGTAGTGTCAATTCTATTTCTTGTTTTAAATATCTGTAATATCATCAACTCTTGCATGATAATACAAAATCCTTAATAGGTAAGTAAAAATATACAAGATAAATTAGGCTTGGGTCTTACATGGCCACACAAGGGCAGAAGCGGGATAAGATTCTTAACACTTCCTAAACTGTAGAATCTGCCTTAATTCTTACCAAATAGTCATAGCCATTATGCCTACCTCTGTTCTCTAATCGCCAGGGCATAGAGTGGGAGTATGTAATACCCCAGAAAGGGATATGGTAAATCCAAACCTCCTTTCTCTGAAAGGCCAACAAAGAACTGTACAGCACTAATCCTTACGAGTGCTCTTTCTGGAGCAGCATCCCCACATACCATCCATGCTCTGGGCTGCGCTCTTTATATAATGTCTGATTTAGTACTGTCTGATTTTTAAAATAAATGTGGTCATGATAAGCCTTATTAAAAAGCAGTTCAATTCAGCTTTAACGTTTTCTTTGCTTACTGACTTCTAACAGTCACAAGCAAAAACCTCTGCTTTTACAATTAGTATGTGACAATGCATTAATGTTTTGTTAGTACTACAGAGAAGAATTTAATTGGAGCAGTTAGCATTCAGGGCTTCACCTAGATGTGGGCAGGATTTAATTGGAGTAGTTAGTGTTCATGGCTTCACCTGGATTTATTTGAGGAGGCAAGAACAACCATAGAGGACTAAGCCTTCTTTTAAAATAGGGCTTAGTTAGGAGACAGCCCAAGGCAGAGTAGTTCAGGAAGGAGGAGAGCCAGGCCTCTGGTACTGGCTCTGAGAAATGGGGACAAGATGCAAGAGGTAGTATTGGGGGTTGCTGCTCTGCTAGAAAAAAAGGAACTTAACGTTGTGTCCAGGTGGGACAAGAAATGTAAGCCTCAGGTTGGTAGATGATGGATTAGCTGAGTTTTGAGATTATTACTAACGAAGCCTGGGAGAAGATCCCTTTCATGACTTTGAAAGAAGAGAGGATCTTAAAAACAGTTCTTATGTAGTACTGAGAAAGCACTGGGCAGGACAATATCGGTTTGGGTCTTTATTTGGGTTTTGAAATTTTATAGGCAGCTAGTACTTTGCAACTGCCCAATATGAGAACCCTTAAAGGAGCCTGACTTTTAGGAGGCTAGGGCTAAATACTTTTGCAAGTCCAGTGCTTTTAAGATGCTAGGCTTGACCACAAAAAAAAAAAAAAAAAAAAAAAAAAAAAAAAA